TGGTGGTCCGTTACGTTACGTAAGTAGGAGAAGAGAGAGAAGAAGAAGTAGAGAGTGTGTGTGTGTGTGTGTGTGTGTGTGTGTTGTGTTGTAGTTAAACACCTAACACCTAACATTAAATTTACCATCATAACCATTTTTAAGTCTACAGTTCAGTAGCGTGGAGTATATTGTCATTGTGCAACAGATCTCTAGAACTTTTTCATCTTGCAGTACTGAATCTGTATACCCCTTAAATGCTGATTTCCCCTTCTTCTCTCCCCCTGACTCTTGGCAGCCACCTTTTTTACTTTCTGTTTCTATGATTTTGAATGCTTTAGGTTCTTTATGTGAGTGGAATCATACACTGTCCTCTTGTGCCTGGCTTATTTTGCTTAGAATAATGTCTTCAAGGTTCATCCATGTTATATTTTGTAACAGAATTTCCTTCTGTTTTAAGGCTCAATAATATTCCACTGTATAGATATACTACATTTTCTTTATATATATAAAATTAAAAAAATTAATTTGAGGAATACTTTATGTACAGTCAACTACAACAATTAAAGTACAATTCGATGAGTTTCCATGGGCGTATACCATGAAACTACCAGCATCATCACCTTAAAGAACATTTCCATTACCCCAGGCATTTCTTGCTCCCTTTGCTGTCCATTTCTCCCTCCCCTAACCCCTGACCTCAGATACCACCGACTATCTTTTTGTCCTTATAGCTTAGTTTACGTATTCTAGAATTTCCTATGCATGGAATCATGCTGTGTATGTTTTTTTTATGTCTAGTTTCTTGTCCACATCATAAGTATATTGAGATTTCGTGTTGCGTGAATCAATAGTTCATGTTCAGGGGAACATTTAAACAGTTGTTTTCCCTTCTAAGTGCTCTTGATTCTGCCCATGATCCCCCATCTCCAGTGCTGAGTCACTGTCATCTCTGGCCTGGGTGCCTGTAATGGCCTCCTCTCATCCATTCTGCGCTCCTGTAGCCCCTCTTCCTGCAGCTGCCAAAGTGAAGTTCATAACAAGCACGTCGTCGGACCGTGACCACCTAGTGCTCTAACGCATTAGTGGATTTGCATGATGTAGAAGCCCGATCTAACCCTGTGTGTGGTCTGGCCCCTGCCGTCCCCTCCAAAATCCTCTTGCATCCTTCTCACTTCCTTCATGCATTCTAGCCTTCCTAAACTTCCTTAGAGCCTGTCTCTTAGTCCCCCGAATAGGCCTCACCATCGACCTCGCCATACCCCCAGCACAGGGTGGCTTTCCTTTTGTTTGCAGGAGTCTTTGACGAGCATCTGCTTCCCTCTGCACCCATCATAAGTCGGGGCAGCTCTGTTGCAGCCTGCTGCCATGCTTAACACATAGTAGGCGCTCACTTTGTGGCTGAATGGATGAGTGAGGCTGCTCCTTTTAGCAGCTGCTTTCTTATACATGTGTGAGCTGAGCCCTCTGTCTTTCTGGCTTTGGCAGGACGAGCAGCTGAGGGCCCTGGTGAGGCAATTTGGACAGCAAGACTGGAAGTTCCTGGCTAGCCACTTTCCCGTGAGTACAGCCCCTCTGTGGCACCCTCCCTGAGAATAGTGGGCCTGGGACAGACTTTCAAGGAGAAGAAAGGGGAGTTCCTTACCAACCCCACCCCCCACACCACCCGCCAGCTCCCTCAACAAAGCAGCCTTCCAGCCTTCCTAGACCCTTTCTTCCCAAACTGGAATCTGAGGCACCCTGGTACAAGCATCTCCACATGGCAGCTCTGTGTGCCTGTGGGTCTTAGGCTCTGTGATCATGCGAGCAGATCAGTGGCTTATTTGCATTTCTTCCTGCAAGTCAGGAGTGAGTTGGTGCTCGGTTTCTCAACCGTGAACCTGAAACTGAGCGGGCTTCATGATGAGGCCCATGCAGAGCTAGCTGGTGCCACCCCATCTGGCATTTAGAGCCTCCTGGTGATGTGAGTCCCCCGTCCGATCCCCCATCCCCAGCACTGCAGGCATGGACCCTGGCAGGAGCTGCTGTCTGGCTTATTTCCTGGGTCACTCAGGCAGCCTAGGGCCCAAGTCACCAGACCCTTCTGCCCAATTCCTCATCTTTCCCTCCTTCATGTGATTTGAAACCTTCAGGGAAATAACCACTCTCCCAGAAGCAGGCAGGGATCCCTGACATAGTCCGCAGGCTGGTACAGGGCAGCCCCCTTGTGGCAGGGGTGGCAGACAGTGGCTTCCCCCCAGGTCCTGAGTTTTCCTGGTCCCATCGTGCCCTCTTGTAGCAAACGGAAACCATGCATGTTCTGGCATGTGGGTGTGTAGTGTGTGATGGTGCAGGGAACAGAACAGAACCCCTCTGAGGTGTCCCCTGAGCTGCAGTCCCCAGAGCCCAGTCCAGGGTCACCATCCTAGGAGTTCTCACAGATGCCTGTTCTCTTCCCAGAACCGCACTGACCAGCAGTGCCAGTACCGGTGGCTGAGGGTCTTGAATCCAGACCTCGTCAAGGGGCCATGGACCAAAGAGGAGGACCAGAAGGTAGCTCCCGGGACAGTGCCTCAGGGTCTGAGGCTGCCCTTGGGGTTGGCTGGGTTGTCCAGTTGAACCTTGGATGTGTGACATCCCACTGGTCAGTTGGTCAGCCGTACCTCCCGGGGTGTGGTGAGGCACCGCCCAGTGAAGCTGCTGGGATGGGGGAGGGGCAGGTCCCGCCGGCCTCATAGCAGCTTTTCTCCCAAGGTCATCGAGCTGGTCAAGAAGTATGGCACGAAGCAGTGGACACTGATCGCCAAGCACCTGAAGGGCCGGCTGGGGAAGCAGTGCCGTGAGCGCTGGCACAACCACCTCAACCCTGAGGTGAAGAAGTCCTGCTGGACGGAGGAGGAGGACCGCATCATCTGCGAGGCCCACAAGGTGCTGGGCAACCGCTGGGCCGAGATCGCCAAGATGCTGCCAGGGAGGTGAGCCGCCTTCTGGGAACAGGGCGGGCAGGTGAGGGCACCTACTGGCCTTTAGGGGGATGTTCCAAGGCCCAGTCTGAGTTCTCTGGAGTTGTTCACTTTTCACAGAAGCAAATGAATCCTTCAGATTCTTGTCTTTGGGGGCATGGGTCTCAGCTGCCGGGAGTCTGAGCAGGGTAGGGAGGGGCTCCTGGGAGCCCCCCATTCACTGTGCAGATTCTCATCTGGTCCCCGTTTCAGCTCTGTGTGCGATCCTCCCTCTGCTGTGGCCAGGATTGCCTGGTCTTTTTTTTTTTTTTTTTTACGTTCCATGATTTTTTATCTTTTGTCCTTCGTTAACAGGAACCTTATGTTACTGCCCTCCCCCCAAAGAACAGAAATGAGAAACAAGAGCCCAGTTTTTTTATTTGATCATTTCTTGCATTTGAAGTATTCCTTGATGACATCCTTGGCCTGAGACTCTTTGCCATAGTCCTTAACAACCACACAGCTGCAACCAACCACTTTACGGGGTTTTCCCTCTCTGTCAATTTTACAGAGGCCTACCCATTCCCCTAGCTTCTTGTTGTCATCAACCTTGATCAGGTTGATTTGGTACTCAGCACAAAGAGCTTCCACCAACTTGACATACATAGGCTCATCACAGTTGGATGCAAGCACACAAAGATGGGCTTGGCGCTTGTCTAAGGCTTTGGCAGCTTCGTGAATTCCACGTGCTAGGCCATCATGGATGAGGGCGGTCTTCAGCACCTCTTGTAGAGCAGTATTGACGTCCATTACACCTCCAGCAGCAATGCCTTCCTCGGCCATGGCGGTGGGTTACGGGTGGAGCCGAATCTTGAATGCACCCGAGCCTCTGCCTCCGCGCGACTCGGCGGCGGCAGGGAAAGAGCGCCTGGTCATTTTTTTAAAGAGAATAGGTGTCTTTCTTCCTGCCTGTGAGATCAGGGCCAGGATCTGGATGTCTGAACCACTGCTGTTTTTTCACCCTGCTCCTCAGAGGGCCTGATCCTTCCAAGCCCTCGGCCTCTTGGGGTTCTTCAGGGAACGTCTGGATGACTTGGCTCCATTCTTGCTGGAATCTTCCCCCAGGGTCACCTTCCAGTCTCCTGAGTTGCTTACTGCTCCTCTAACTGCTTTCCATTTTCTGGCAACTTACAGAAATTTCTCACATACTGCTATCTTCTACCCTGCTATCTTTGTCCATGTGCATTTTTACCGTATTTTATTTTTAATCCTTTCTTTGCCATGGCAGTGCAGTCCTGAGAGGGAGCAGGATAAAATGCCAGATGGTCTTTCCCCTAGAGTCTGGAATCATCTACTTCCAAAACTCAAACCAGAGTGTGTTATCCTTTGGGTGTTTCTTCTCACACTTGGGTTGGAGACTCAGCCCTCTTCCCATGTGGCCAGTCTGGCCCAGCTAATTCCACCTGCCTCGCCTTGATCCGCTGTCACCCTTGCTGACCCTTTTGGCTTTAGCTGCTGCACCCTCCTGTCTCAGACATGGTGAACTCACTTCTGAGAGCATCCCTGTGCTTCCGTCAGCCTGGACGCCTCTGCCTTGTGCCCATCACGTAGTCAACATGCTCTCATCCTTCAGTCCTCGGTGGTGGTGTTACTTCCTCAGGGAAGGTTTCTCTGTTCTTCCCGACTGTGATCGGTCCCTGGCCATCTCCCAGTAGTGCCCAGGCCCCTGCCAGGTCAGTGCTGTATCCTGACGGCCCGCAGTGGGAGTGATGAGAGTTATAGACCCTCCCTTTAGGCTGGGATAAAGTCAAACTGTTATTCTCTGTTCATAGTTCAAGAGAAAAGCACTTTGCTCAGAGCCCCAAAGAAGGCAGTGCCTTTGTGTGTTGGCACTTCTCCGCTGCTGTAGACCGCTGTGCTCTGGCACGGCTGTGCCCACCCGTGCTGCTCACTGCTCTGCTGCTCTGTCATTCCTTCTGCACTACTCTGCTTCATACTCCGGTGCCTTCCTACTGCTCTGCTATCCCGTCCTTCTGTCCTGCTATACCAGTCTGCCTCCACCTCCACACTTCTCTGCACTTCTCTACCCCTGTGCTCAACTCTGCTTCTATAGTGTTGTACTGCTCTGTGCTTTATGTGACTACGTATATTTTCTCTTTAATATTCAGCAAGTGATGGAGGATGAAGTAGTCTGCTTCTCCAGATAAACCAAGGTTTAGAGTGGACAGTAGTGGACCCTCTGCCTCTAGCTCTGCCCTCTTTGGCCATTTTTCTCCCTTAGGAGGTGATCAGGGCTTCTGTTCTAGGTCACTGAGCCTCAGGACTGGGGCTGGCAGCCAGCAGCTTGCTTACGGTTTCTACAGATGCAAAATGAGCAGGAAAGGGCATGAGAGTTCCCAGAACATGTCAGTGTTAGGCTTTTTACCCTGTAGACTGAGTAAAACCTTTGCTTATTTCTCAGATGTATAGAAATGCTCGGAAAATTGTTCTGGGTTAGAAGCATGTCAGACTTCATCTTAGAGCTGAGAGACCTTAGAGTTCCTCAGTTTGAACCCTTATTTACGGAAGTGAGAACTCAGGGAGGCTAGTGATGTGCTTGGTGGTGCACGGGCCACCGGGCTGGAGTCAGAGCTCTCCTGTTGGCCCCTGCAGGACGGACAATGCTGTGAAGAATCACTGGAACTCCACTATCAAGAGGAAGGTGGACACCGGAGGCTTCCTGAGTGAGTCCAGAGACTGCAAGCCCCCCATGTACTTGCTGCTGGAGCTGGAAGACAAGGATGGCTGCCAGAGTGTCCCCCCCGTGGAAGGCCAGGTGAGCTGGGCTGGGCGTGGCTGGCTTGTTTTCACATGTATCTGACACCGTCTCATCAACACTGCTTCCTCTCTTTTCACCTGTTCCACAGCTGTTCATTAGTCCTGTCACAGGATCTCTGTGTGGCCACGTGTCTCTCACGAGGGTCTGTCCCTGTGACACCCGTGCCCACACCTGGCACTCATATGCCCACAGGTGAAGGATGCCAGAGGTGACATCAGATTGAGGGTTAGGTGAGGAGGTCTCAGCCTTCTCTTGTCTGCGTCTGCAGCTTCCTTCCTACCTGTTGCTCTTTCCAGCCTCTTCATACTGAAAGCAAGTTTGCAATTAAAAAAAGAAATCAGATTTATTGAGGTACAATTCACACACAGTAAAATTCATTATTTTGTGTACAGGTCTGAGTCATTACAGAAACAGTCATGTAACCACCACCACCATCAAGACACAGAGCATTTCCATCACTCCCCAGATTCTCATGCCTTCTCCCATCCTTAGCCCCTGGCACCCTCATCTGTTTTGTCTCTGTAGTTCCAGACAGTCACATAAATGAGTCATATGGTGTTAGGTTTATAATTGTCGACATCTTCCATCCCACACCCTGGAGTACACTTTTTAAAAAAACTGAAGTATAGTCGATTATAGTATAATATTAGTGTCAGGTATTTATTGCTATTTTTGAACTATGTCTTATGATTCATTCTTAAGAAATGAAGGGGGGATTGAATAGCTCAGTGGTAGCGTGCCTGTTTAGCATGCATGAGGTCCTGCATTCAATCCCCAGTATGGATTGGAGATTAATGAATAAATAAATAACTAAACCTAATTGCCACCCCCACCCCCAAAATGAAGATTTGGAGCCCATGGGTCAGTGTGAAGATATGATAGTGCTGGGTACATGGCTGGTGACAAGCTTCGTCTACACTGTTCTCCAAGGTTTTCTGTACTTGTGAACTACTGAATAATCCTTTTTAACACTACCCCTTCCCTTTCAAATGAGCTAGATAATAACTTGTTCACTGCTCCAGTTCTTTTACAGCACCCTGCTGGAGCATTATATAATGTTTTTGCCTCTATTTCCTGATTTTTCAATTTCAGAGACTATCGCTTGACTCCCAGATATGAAAGCATCTGTAGGGTGACGGTTGAGAAAGGTATAAGGTGTAAAGTAGAATGACTTCTTCCTCCCGTCTGGACTCCCCACGCATCCCCTCACCAGAGGAGTTCACTTCTCACGGTTTCTCATGTGCTTAAGTAAGATATTTTCCAGGCTTTTACTTCTGATTGAAGAAAAAGCACCCATGCCAGAAGGAGGAAACAGTGGGCAGCAGCAAACACGGAGAAGTGGTCTTTCAGGATAGGGCAGAGTGGACAGTAGTCTCTGAAAACCCTTTCTGCTGAAAGTCATTTTCTTGACTCTTGTTCTCACCCCTCTGACACTTAGTGTCTGGAAATTTGGCCCTGCTGGGTCAGGAGGAGCCCCAGAGGGGGATCCTGAGCAAACTTGGGTCAGCCTAATGTGGGTTTCAGCCTCACGCATTCCTCTCCAGTGTCATTTTAATGGTTTTATCGTGCTGTTAATTTATTTAATTAAGGTTTTATCCGACTTTTTGTTGTTAGAAACAAACCTTGTCCTTGTAGCTCAGGAGATCCTTTGCTCAGTTATTTCTTGAGAAATTCTTCGAGATGGATAGATACATTCTTTAAAAATTTTAATAGACTTTTTTTTTGCTAGACTTTGCTAGGTTTTTTTTTTTTTGATTGCCTGCCAGAAAATATTTGTCTCTTTTGTATCTATGGGACTACCTCACTGGTCAGGGCTTGCAATTATTAATTTTATCCTGTGCTTCAGAAGTAATACACAGTCATTGTGGGATTAGAAACTTTAACAGAATTGAACAGTGCTGAAGGCCAAGTCTGTAAATCTCAACTTCCAGAGAGAACTGATATATTATTTAATATATTTGCCAATATTTATTACCAAGGGTAGTAAGTGTAAAATGAGATTATATCTTACTGTCTTATAAATTTCTTTTTCTACTTAAATCTTCCACGTTGTTATGTGCATGCAGATTTTTACACCATTCCTGAATCTGTCGTATCTTATCTTGTCATTATCACCTATTGATGAATGACTGTCACTGTTTCCATCAGTATGACTGTCACCATTTCCATCAGCATGCTGCAGTGATCATAGTTCAAATTCTTTGTACATATGCCTATTTATGTGGTTAATTTTACAAGTGTGGAATGCTTGTGCTGTAGGAAAGGGAAATGTCATGGCAATAATGGCTACTAATTGGGTTGAGTGGTTTTCACATAGTCGTTGATCTGTGTAACCTCCCTGCTCAGTGTCCTCATTTTATAGGCAAGGAAACTGACCCTCATCAGACCGCTGGCCTGAGCTGGGAAATGGCAAAGCTCTGTCTGCATCTAGAGCCCGTGCTCTCTCCCCTATTCCCTGGTGCCCCGCCATTAACATGGGACCCCGCTCCTGGATCTCGACCAGGCCTTTGTTAGTCACATGTGCTGTTTTCAAGGGTCGCTCGGGTTAACATGTCAAGCTTGTTTCCAAGGTTCTGCCAGGAGAGCTATTGCCGCAAAGATCTCTGTTTTTTTCTGTCACAAAATTAGTATCCACTCATTTTTCAGATTTTCATTTTGAAATAATAGTAAGCATTAGGAAAAGATGCAGGAAGAGTACTCCCATATACCCTTTATTGTCTTCACTAATTTTGAATATTTTCCAGATTTGCTTTTATCTTTCTCTATATACGTATTTTTTTAATCTGAGCTATTTGAAAGTTGGTTCCATGTATTGTACCTTTTATGCTTTAATATTTGAATGTGTTTTTTCCAAAAATAAGGACATTCACCTATGTAACCAAGGAATGTAGTTGGAATTTAGCATTGATTCCGGACTTTTAACTAACCTGCCATCCAGATTCCATTTTTTCTGCCAATGATCCAATCCAGGATTAGACATTGTGTTCGTTGTCATATCTCTTCCATCCACTTTTATCTGGAATGGGTCGTCAGCCTTTCTTAGCCTTCCATAATCCTGATTTTTTTGAAGTATACGCTAAGGCCTGTTATGTTATAAACTGTGTCTCAGTTTGGGTTCACTGGAGTTTCCTTATTATTAGATTTGGGTTGTGCATTTTTAGCTAGAATATGGCATAGTTTACATCTCTTAAGGAAAAAGCCAAGCCTTGTGCCCTGTGTCCCCCAGGGAAGTCTTGTGACCAACTGGCCCCCAGCATTCCCGGCCATGAAGGAAGAGGAGAGCAGTGAGGAGGAGGCCGCGGCAGCTGCCCCTTCCCAGGAGCAGGAGCCTGTCCCTGCAGAGCTGGATGGAGTGCGGACACCAGAGCCCCTGGAGGACTTCCCCAAGCGTGAGGACCAGGAGGGCTCCCCACCAGAGACCAGCCTGCCCTACAAGTGGGTGGTGGAGGCCGCAAACCTCCTCATCCCTGCCGTGGGGTCCAGCCTCTCTGAAGCCCTGGACTTGATCGAGTCGGTAATGTTGGTCACAGCGCATCCCAGTGGGCCCAGAGCACCCCCAGCAGGGAGTGCTTTTCTCCATAGGCAGACGTCCTTCTGCTCACTCCTTGTCTCTCTGACATGGCCGAGGCAATCCGAGTGCCCGGCCCAAAGCCTGGGCCTGGCGACACCAAGATAGTTGCCATGCAGTCCCTGCCCTTGGGGAGCTTCTGACTCACCTGTACAGCACGGATGGGCTTGGAGGGCTCCCCGGCAGAAGTGGCGCTACAGAGTCCTCAAGGGTGTTTGGGAAGGGTATTTGAGACCAAAAACAGCACAGGAGAGGGTGGTGTTTGCAGCAGCACAGATGATTGGGTGTCCCTGGTGAGGGCCCTGGGAAGTGCCAGGGTTTGGGCCTGGGCATGGAGAGGTGAGTGGGGATTACGCAGGTAGAGCAGCCCCCAAGGCTGCTCCAGCTGTGGGTTGTGCCCTTTGGGGAAAAGTACCCTGATGGAGGTTGCACCTCTGGGTATGACCACCCAGCTGTGTCAGCCAGCCCTGTGATGTGGAGTGGGTTTCAGGAAGTGGTGAGCAAGAAGCAGGCACGGAGGGCAGCGAGGTTCAGTGGGCGGTGTCCACACTGAACACCTTCCCACTTGCGCTTCTCCTGATTGGCTGAGAATAATGACACTGTTTATTGAACATCTGCTAAATGCCAGGCTGTGGCTTAACGTATCCCACATGGTATGCTGTGAGGGGTGTCCTTTCTGTGTTTTGTAGATGAGACTGGGGCTCAGAGAGATCAAGTAGTGTACCCAGGGTCACACAGTGAGTGAGGTACAGTGGTCTTAACTAACCGTCATGCTGTGCTCAACTGTCCTGCCCAGTGAGGGGTTGGATGGTAGAGTCGGTCTCGGGAGGGCCTCTGCTCAGATCCTCTGGCTCTGGGTTTCACCTCTTGTCCCTGGAGGTTGGGACTATGGTGTCCCCTCCACTCCATGGAATGCCAAGGTGACAATGTGTTCCTCAACCTGTTCAGCAAGTAGCCCCAAGGCCACCATGGGCTGTCCTTCCTTTGGGCTCTGGTGGGAGGGTTGAGGTGAGAGTGGGCCCACTCTGTGTCCTGCACTTCACTGTTGCCTCCCTCCATCCTCAGACTGTTCTCTGGAGCACCCTCTGGCTGCCAGGCGCAGTGCTTCTTTAGTAATAATAGTATCTAACTTCTGAGTGCCTGCCACGTGCCAGGCTTATTACTTGGTACCTCTCTGTATGCTCTCAGTCCTTTAACAGCCTGTGAAGTGGGTGGTGGACTCATCTCAAGCTCAGAGCATCACACAGCTGGTGAGTGCCGGGGCCAGGAGTCAGGCCCTGCTGTCTGGTCTAAGCTCTGGTTCTCTCGACAGTGACCTTCAGTAGCTGACAGGAAATTCCAGTATTTGCAGAAACGCTGCCGACTGCCCTTCCAGCAGGCAGTCCTTGTCACATGTGCTCTGGTCTGTTAGATACCATCAATTTTGGGGCCTTTTCGACGTCAGGGTTGGCTTCTGGAAGGTGGGCCTGGATTTAGCACTGCTGAGCTGGCCTTCACCCTTAGGAATTGACTTGCCAGGTTTCTGGGAGCCCCAAGGACCAAAAATCACCACTAGGAACTGGGTCTATTCAGAGCCAGATGTTCGGGGACCAAAGTGGAAACTTCCATCTCCAGAAGCCCTTTGACTGGGTTGTAATTTACTGGGCAAAGGCAGAAAGACCTGGGCGCCTCTCAGAATTGCTCTTAGAAGCTTAGTGCCCTTGGGCTGATCACACCTCCTCTGGTCTGGCTCCCTCAGTGTGAGAGGGGACAGCAGTGCTTCTCTGGCAGGGTGACTAGGGGGCTGGAAACAATTCAGGTGAATCACCCAAAGAGGCACCGTGATTGACAGGGTTGTGGAGCACAGAGGGGTCTCCTCTCTGGGAGCATGGCTGGCAAATGAAGGCCCATGACTTCTACTTCCAGCTCTCTTTTAAGGAAGTAGCTATAAATGCAGGAGATTCATATCCGAGATGTTTATAAAGATGTTTTCTTTTTTTTCTTTAATGAAGGTACCGGGAATTGAACCCAGCACCTCGTACATGCTAAGCATGCACTCTACCACTGAGCTATTACCTACCCCCTAAAGATACTATTTTTAATTTTTGAGAATTAGTGGGGGAAACCTAATGTCCTACAGAAGGGGAATAATTAAGTAACATATTCAAATGAAGGAATATTTTGTAGCCATGACAATTATTATAAGTGACTTTTTTCCACTATAACAACAACTAATATTTAATGATAGTAAACATTAAACTCATGGATAATAGAAGGAGGTACTATCGTTATTCTAGCTTTAGAGAAATTTTAAATGGAAAAAGAAATGATACAGAAATGATTTGCACTAAAGTTAAAAACATTGAAAATATTAAATATTTAGAGACGTAATTTTTAAAGATATGCATTAGTATGGTAAATAACCAAATTCAGGTAGTGGTTTTCTGTGTGCAGGAGAGGATGTATCAAGTGGACCTGGAGCTTTAATGATAAGGTTTTATTTCTCATGCTTATTGGTGGGTATCCGAATATTCTCTGTATTTTTCTTTGTACTTTTTGTATGTCCTAAAAATAGACCAGTTTTGTAAAGAACAGTAAGAGGCCATGCGCACAATATGACTTCAGTTATGTTTACAAATAGAGACACACAGACTTAGAAGAATCCTTGGAAAGCCAGGACAGTATTAACAATGATCATTCCTGGGCTGTGGGATCACAGTTGATGCTCGTGTGTTTTCCTTTAATGAATGAGTCCTGTCGTATGGACTGGTAGAAAAGCAGAGTCATGGCAGTTATTCCTAACCCCCATCTCTGGGCAGGACCCTGACGCCTGGTGTGACCTGAGTAAATTTGACCTACCTGAGGAGCCATCTGCAGAAGGCAGCATCACCAACAGCCCAGTGCGGTCACAACCATCCCAGGAGCAGCAGGAGCAGCAGGCCCCACCGCCCGGCCAGCCTGCTGCTCCAGTGCCCAGCGTGACCGAGTACCGCCTGGACGGCCACACCATCTCAGACCTGAGCCGGAGCAGCCGGGGCGAGCTGATCCCCATCTCCCCTAGCACTGAAGTAGGGGGCTCCGGCATTGGCACACCACCCTCAGTGCTCAAGAGGCAGAAGAAGCGGCGCGTTGCCCTGTCCCCCGTCACTGAGAACGGCGCCAGCCTGTCCTTCCTGGACTCCTGCAACAGCCTTACCCCGAAGAGCACGCCCGTCAAGACCCTGCCTTTCTCGCCCTCCCAGGTGTGTGGACCCCACCCCACCTGCTCTCTGGACACAGATGATAGCCCCCAAATGCTCGGTACTGTCCGTTCATTGAGTGTCTGCTGTGCATGAGGCCCTGTCCCAAGTGCTGTGGACGCTGGTGAGCAAAACCAGGCCTGACTCTGCCCTCACGAAGCTTATGCACTGATAGGAAGACCAGTTAATTTAAAAATGACCCAAATGTGATAAATGGAGTGAAGGAGAAGGCTTGTGGTATTTCAGGTGCGTCACCTTGATGGACTTGCTCAGTGGGTCCCTGCTGATCTGCCCTGGCCTTTACTCTCTGGCACCTGTGGGTGGGGAGCTCCTAGGTCAGGGTGGACCTCTGTCAGAGAGCAGCCATGTCAGGGGAAGGTCTCAAGGATCTTGCCCCATCCCCACCCCCACAGGTCATCACTTTGTCTTGTTTCCTTTGTCTTCCTGGCAGTTTCTGAACTTTTGGAACAAACAGGACACACTGGAGCTGGAGAGCCCCTCGCTGACATCTACCCCCGTGTGCAGCCAGAAGGTGGTGGTCACCACGCCGCTGCACCGGGACAAGACGCCCCTGCACCAGAAACACGCTGCGTGAGTGCTGTACCCCCTGCCCCGCCTGCACTGGGCCTGCCCCTCCCCCAGCAGTGGCCAGTCTGGCGGGGACAGGATCTCTGGGGAGGGGCACCTTGGAAAAACACCCAAGGCTCTGTTTCAAGAAGGTAGCCTCCTTCTGGTCACCACACCTCTTCCTTTTTTTTCCGTGGAGTCTGGTGCTTCACCTTTGTTCTAACTCTTTTATTTTTTAATTGGATGGTTTTCTAACCTCAGAAGTGGAGAGTCCACATTGCCATGAAAAATTTAATCTCTGCATCTTGTATGAGGTTCAAGTGCAGATCCACTGTGATTGAGTAGCCCGACATGAAGGACGAAAGGGCCCCCGGTTCTCTCCGTCTCTCTGGTGCTTGGTCAGGAGGGACAGCTGTGTCCCTGCCTTTGAGCTTATACAGCACAGTGTGTCACCTTCAAGCCTGTAGGGTTGCTTACCTGCATGCTTCTGTGGGGGTGCTTTCATGTTAAGTTTACTTCCTTGTGTCATCACGAGTCTTCAATTCGAGGTAGAGAGAGTTGCTTAACTGGCCTTCTGCTTATTAATTACATTTGCTGGGGGAGAAGCATTGCTATTTGTATTTCAGGAGTTAAGTTGTAATTCAGGAATCAGTTCAGGAATCTTACCTCTTGTAATGATACATGGTTTTAGGAAAGATGTATGAATCCCTTGGTCAGAAATCAGTCTCTCAATGGTTGATCTAAAATTTAACATAGATAGGTTTCATACAAAATGATTCTCCTTTCAAGCTGAAATCTTGGACTTCAAATCAAAGCTCTTAAACCTATCCTGGAACCGAAAAAAAAATTGATACTTGAATACGTTTCATGAGAAATGATTCTCTATTCAAGCCAAAATCCTAGACTTTAAGCTCTTAAAGAGACGGCTGAGACCACGAAAGGAGTCAATACTTCTCTTTCTTTTACCTTCTCATCTGTGTTCCTAATGCACTGCTGCCGGCTCAAATGTCTCTGTTTTCTTCCACACAAAGAAGCATTTCCAGTGCTCTTTCTTCCTCTGTAGATCCCCATTTCCCTCTGGCAGTATGTATGTTCCTTGTGTCTGAAGATCATCCTTTAATGTTTTAGCGTGGGCCTGAGGGTCATGAGTTCTTCCATGAATTCTTTTGTGTGTCTGAAAAGTTACGTTAATTTTTTTGAGAGAGACTTTTGCTGGGTATAGAACTCTAGTTTGGCAGTTTTCTTTCAGTGCTTTAAAGATGTTGCTCTTCTGCCTTGGGGCTCTTGTACTGTTTTATCATCAGTGTTGAACAATTTGACTATGATGTGCTATGATACATTTTTCTTTGTTTCTTATCCTTGGTGTTCACAGAACTGCTTGGATCTGTGGTTTATAATTTTCATGAAATTCAGAAACATTTCAGCCATTATTTCTTTGAATAACTTGTCTGGGCCCTCCACCCCGGGTCCTCTTCAGAGGCTCCACAGTTACACATATTAGGCCACTTGAAGTTGGTCCCACAGCTTACTGATATTATGCTTATTTTAATTTTTCATTCTTTTTCCTCTCTATTTCATTCTGGGTAGTTTCTGTTGCTTTGCTTCAAGTATACTGAGCATTTTTCCTTGAGCATATCTAATCTTCCAGTAACCCCGTTTCAGGCATTGTTTTCCATCCCTAGAAGTTCTAGTGGATCTATTAAAAGAGCATCCCTGTCTCAAACTTTTCAAACATACGAAATACAACACAGTGGATTGTCTCCTGACTTGCCCACCTGCTGAGTCAGTCCTCTGGCTTACACAGTGACGTTTTTCTCATCTCCATGCAATCTTGTATGTTCCCTTATCAAGTTGGCCTCCCTTAGTTTTTCAATGTGTGTCCTCAGTTCTTACTGATGCTGTGAATTAGAGATGTTCTGGGCTTTTCTCATGTTCACGGCAGAAGCTCCGTGTCCCACAGAGATGTTGGATCCCAAGGCTCAGTTCATCCCTTTGAACTGTGGTTCGAACTGTGAGCTGCTCACTTCTGACCAGCGCTAACCTGTCTTTGCTCATCCTTACAGAGGGGACCCCTGTGTCCTGTGTGGGAGATAAGGATTTGGGAAGAGGTTGTGGATCCCTGTGTAATCTCTCAGGCCCCAGGAAGGAAAGAAAGAATGGTCTGCACTTGTCCTAGCTTTTTATCTCCCATGGGGTGGACAGCAGGCTGAGGAAGTGGCTGGAGTGACGGCCCCAGGCAGCAGGTCCAGTTATTGGCCTCTGCACCCAAGCTCCTGGCTACCTGAGGCCTTTCCTGGGTTTCTCTCTGCCAAAGCTTTCCTTCCACATTTCTGCCCCCACTGTGATCATTTTGAGGAGACTTGGGAAAAGGGTAAGTTAAGCACGTGGTTTGGCCTGACTGTCTCGCTGCACGAGAGAGGTTTGGGAGGGGCGTGGTCTTCTGGTTTCCCATCTCCCTCCCCTGCCCCTCTCCCTGGGCCTGAAGTATGGCCACAGGCTGGCCTTGTTTTCTGGGAAATCCTGGTAACAGCAGCATTCTTAGCCGTTCTTCCACCTGCTTGGGTCTCTTGGACCCTCTCAGACTCTTACTGAGGATGGCCCTTCCTCTCAGCCCCTCGGTAACTCCCCTTGCGGGTGGGGAGGTGGGTGGGTTGGGGGGAGTGCAATGGGAAGAGAGTGTGCCGGGGGTTCCCTCCCTGCTGCTAAGGCCAAAGGTCAGGCGGAGGGCTTGGGAGTCCCAGGCAGCCTGGAGCAAGAGTGGTTGGTGTCTGCCCCCAGCCCCGTCACTCAGCTGCCTCCTCTGTCCCTGGCAGGTTTGTTACCCCAGATCAGAAGTACTCCATGGACAACACTCCCCACACACCCACCCCGTTCAAGAATGCCCTGGAGAAGTATGGACCACTAAAGCCCCTGGTAAGTGCTGTGGCCAGGCCAGTCATCCAGCTGTTCACAGCTCACAGGGCCCAGTCCCTCTGAGAGCCTGTGGGATTCTCCCAGCCGCCCTGAGAAGTTGCAGATACCCTAGTTTTATAAACAGAGACCCCGAGGCTAAGTTACCAGTTCATCAGACATTTCCTGAGCACCTACAATGTGCCAGGCAGTGCCGGCTGGTGCTGGAGACACAATGGCATCCTGGTGAAGCTTGGAGTTTGGGATGGTGGAGACCAACATTAAGAATGTGAATGCTCATAAATGACTACTCAGCACATCTTTACGGTGGGCAGAACACGGGCAGGTGTTTAGATGGAGAACTTGCTGGGGCTGATTTCAGGAAGTTGCGAATTGCTTCTCAAACCTAAGTCTTTTGACCGACTGCAAAACACAGGAAAGCATTCATGGGTGGGCTGGAGATGCCAGCCGGTGGGGGAGGTGCCTCCTGGGGTTCTTCCTCAGCAGTGTGCACACCACCCTTCTCCCCTGAACTCTTCCCAGTTCATGAGACAGTCTTGCTTTCCCCAGTGGAAGGAGAGCTGGCAGCCTGGGTTTTCTAAGACAGGCAATATCTTAGAAACCAGCCAGAAGTGGGAGAAAGGCAGGTCGTAGAGAAGCATTCGGCCTGTGGACAAAGCCCGCAACAAGCTCCCCTGCTCACTGCATGGGGTCCAGGCGGCGATACGTGCGCTCCCCATCCTGTGATGGAGCTGGCTGAGTTGCAGAGGCTGTAGGCCAGGCACTAGTCAGCATTGCCCTTTCCTGTCCGGAGTAGGGTTCAGCTCCCAGATACTAAGATGTCTGTATGCTCTCCAGGCAGGTCTGAGAGGGAGAATCTGCCCTTAGTAGTGTAGTTAAAGTACGTGGGGGCTTTTAGAGTGACTCCTCAGGTGTCAGTGTGCCCTGCACCTTCTGCTCCATAGCTCTCCCTCCCCTAGTCTCTGCCACTGAGGGAGAGAAAGGGAAATGGAATCAATATCCCTGTTAGTGCGGGACAAAAGGGTATAGGGTTTGAGTGTGTCCAGGTTCTAACCTCACAGCTGTGTGGCCTTGGGCTGGGCTCTCACTCTCTCTGAGCCTCCGTTACTACCCTGTGGAAGAGACAGCTATTGCCTGGGGCTGTGTGAGGGTTGCTGTGGTGAGCTGGGGGATGCTCCTGGCCCACTTAGCCCTCAGTGAGTTGAGGTCAGTGCTTGTCCCAGGCAGGATGCTTAATGGATAATGTGTGTGAGGCCAGCTTTCTGCACCAGGCCTCCTTCCTGCATTGCTTGGGGCAGGCTGAGGTGTGGCCAGGTCTGCCCGCTGCTCCTAAGGCCTGGGTGCAGAGCCTCACACTGGCTATCCCTATCCCTGCCCGTAGCCCCAGACCCCGCACCTGGAGGAGGACTTGAAGGAGGTGCTGCGCTCAGAGGCCGGCATTGAGCTCATCATCGAGGATGAAGTGAGGCCCGAGAAGCAGAAGAGGAAGGCTGGGGTGAGTGGCTGGCAGAGTGGGGAGTCCTTTGCTGCCAGCCTGGGAGGCCTGGGCAGGGGAAGGTGGAGCCATGGGGGGAGGCGAGTGACAGTGAGGCAGGGAATGGGTCCTGGAACAGCTAATAAATGGAAGGCACAGGGGGAAGTGGAGCTACAGCCCCCAGAGTAGTTATCCTTGAAACCAACCAAGCTAAGACCTTGGTGCTTGGGATGCTCCCATCTTCCCCTTTGAACTGGTGCCTTAGTTGTTGGGCATTGTGTGGACCCCTCTGAAGTGGGCTCTGGACTGGGGCAGGATGGATAGAGCAGTAGGACTGAGAGGTGGTCTCCCTCCTGGAGTTCAGTGAGCGGAGACAGCAGACAAACACCCTAGTGACTCAATACATAGAGCATCAAGGGGGTAGAATGGGCACAGAGGGTTTCACGGGAAACCCTTCAGATGGAGCTGGCCAGGACAGTGGGTTCAGGTGAGGTGGGGAGCTGGCCGGGACAGTACTCAGTGACACTAGAGCACAGAGGGCAGGGCAGGGCCATACTGGGCAAGCCTTCCCACTGCCCCGTGTGTGTTGTTTCCTGACAGCAGGCAGCTACGTGTCCTCTTTGTCTTTGTGCTCCTTTCTTCCCAGACACTCTCCTCCAGGGAGAAGGGAAGGTGGGAATGTGCCAGGGTGATGGCCAAGTGGGGAAGATGGGCAGTCAGGCTGAGAGGGGCCTGCTGGGCTGGGCCCGTGGGCGTGTAGGTAGAGTGTGATCAGGACCCTCCCTGGCCTGTGTCAGAAGATGGTTCTGAGCCATGATAGCACCTGTTGGGGGAACACTGCTGGGTTGGGGGATGACTGTTAGTCCCAGAGCCCCTCCCTGGTATTAGAGCCAACGTCTGACCTACTCATATGAGGTGCCGAGGTGGGGTTGGACATTCCTATAACAGCCTGTGTCCCGTGGGGTTTTAGGTTTCCATATCCCTCACCTGCAGGTGGATGTTTTAGTTGTAACTTGGCTGTTGGGGAGTGTATTTAGTGTGGTAGAAACTTGGGGCTGTGCTTGGTCCCTTTGGGGATGAGGTTGGGTGGAGGATGGCATTGGTGTCCTCGCTCCTTGTTGTAGCGCCTGGCAGGACAGTCTGCCCTGGGTGCAGAGGTGCAGGGTCTGCAGTGGGGCCAAAGTGTCCTGGTCCCTCACTCCTCCCGCAGAAAATCCTTGCCAGCCAGGCCTGCTCAAGGGCTGGCCTGTGCCAAGGCCTGGTTCTGTGACTAGAGCGGCTGGGGCAGGCGTCCTCAGGCGCTGTTGGTGACCCAAGGAACCCCAGCGCCTGTTCTGACCACACACTTCTCCCCAGCTACGGCGGAGCCCCATCAAGAAAGTCCGCAAGTCCCTGGCTCTTGATATTGTGGACGAGGATGTGAAGCTGATGATGTCCACGCTACCTAAGGCTCTGTCCTTGGTAAGAGGTCTGGGAGAGAAGCCGTCCTGTCAGGCCACCCTCTATTCCCCCAGCTGCTGGGAGGATGGAGTCTCCCTCAGGGCCCTCTGCCTCCAGAGCCGTTCAGCCATGGGGAGGACCCTGGAGGTAGAGTTGCCTGGTGGTTCTCGGGCTGGGCTTCCACGTACCAGACTCAGCAGGGAGGGCAGGTGGGGAAGATGGAGCTGGGCACTCACCCCTGGCTTCAATCCAGGCAGCCCCGCCTGTGTCTTTCACAGAAAGGTTTATTTGGCAAGAGCTGCATTGCTAGAACACTTTGACCACTGTGGTTCTGGGTCCCAGCACCTTCCTTGCAGTCTACTTGTGGGGGTGACCCTAGAGAGGGTCAGTGATGTGCTTCAGGGCACGGCCAGGTAATTGGGGCACCTCATCCCTGGCATGGATGCTGCCCAGTTCCCTGGCCGACCTTAGGAAGGGGGCTGCTGTCTATGCAGAGCCTGGGCCCCAGAAACCACATGCTGTTGATCCTTGTATCTGACAGTGGGGTAAACCCATCTTTCGCTGGCACCTATTAGAGGCCGTGAGGGCACCTGAGGGGATTGCGTGACCAGAGCCTGCAAATATGATGGCTGCTCTCACAGTCCTTGCAGAGAAATCTCTCTGTAGCCAGGGATCCCCGCCAGGCTGGGGACTCAGTGCCCTCCAGCCAGACCTGCAGCCAGTATCGCCTCGGGCAAATAAAATAATTAGCAGAAAGAAAAAAGTTACAGCAAATGGTTAAGAGCACAGGATGTGGAGTAGGGGACCTGGGATTGAGTCCTGACACTGGTACCTGGTCTCTGGGATCTCTTAGGTCTCCCTGAGCCTTGAGTTCTTTCCTGTAATAAGGCCCAGCAGCCTGTTAGGGAGGGTAAAGGCTGAGCAGAGCCTAGATGCTGGACAGGCCTGGGGGTGCTTTGTGCAGATCCCTGAGGACGCTGGTGGATGCAGGCACCTCGGCGTCCTCCTGGATGTTTCTGGTCTCAGGAGAAGCTGGAGTATCCTCGTCTCCACCTGGGATGGGGAGGAACCAGTTTCATGTAAAGGGAACCAGCATTATTGGGTATTTACTAGGTGGTAGGCTCTGAAACAGGCACTTTATAGCTATTTAATCTTTAAACGAATTCCCACCTGGAAGGGGAAACTGAGACTTAGTGAAGTTAATGTCTTGCCCATGATGTCACCAGCCAAGAGGTGGTGGGAAGTACCTACAATTTTGTTTTCTCATTCCCACAAAGAGCTTGTGGCAAAATGGTGAGCTTTTGACTTGGTTTTGGTTTCAGCCGACGAACATCCCACCAGGCTCCTCTGGCCTCACCCCATCAGGCAGTAGAGAGGACAGCAGCTTGCTCAATGAAGGCTTCCTGCAGGCCAAGTCTGAGAAGCTGGTGGCCCAGAAGCCCCGAGGCCACTTTCCAACTCCTGCCCCTGTGAGTGCATCTCCCTGGGGGATCTGCTCTGCTTGCACCCTTCCTACCTCAGGGCCTTTGCACAGGCTTTGCCTCGCCTGATGCTCTTCCGTGGCTCTGCTGCCTGATTAACTTGGGCTTCAGATCTCAGTCCAGATGCCACTTCCTCGGGGAACCTGTGTACTGGAGGACCCCCACACAAGCCCCTCCTTCAAGGCGTGGTCTCACTTGTAATTAAGTCTTTGTCTCTGTGACTTCCGTCCTCGAAGACAGGGGCTGCCCTGCCTGCTCCTCTCAGCATCTGCAGGTGTCAACCCCTCTCTGCTCCTCACCAGCCTGGGTGTCTGTAGCTTTTCCTTATATGGAGGCTAGTGCCGCATGGTGGGGAGGGGGGAGGCTTGTGTCCTGGTCTAGCCTCCTTGCTCTACATCTGAGGACTCCCAGACACAGGAGTGGCTTCCTCAGGTCCACCAGAAAGGTACAGTAAAGCACAAAAAGACTTGTGGCTTCTAGAGGGAGGGAGAGTCATAGAAATGTCCCCACCCCTTCCCAGCCAGGGTCACTGGGCTTCCCTGGGAGCATGCTGCCTCTGCCTGGATGGTAACCCTCTTGCCTCCTCCCAGATGACCAGCGCCTGGAAGACAGTGGCCTGCGGGGGGACCAGGGACCAACTCTTCATGCAGGAGAAAGCCCGGCAGCTCTTGGGCCACTTGAAGCCCAGCCACACTTCTCGTACCCTCATCTTGTCCTAGGTGCTCGGCAGTCACGAGCCTGTTCTCATGTTTACAGGGGGCTGGGGGAGACCGAGGCTGGGCTGTGAATTTGAGGATTGCACTCAAATGACTGCCTGCAGGGAACCTTCTGCCACCAGCCCCTCCCCAGACTGCTCAGGGGGAGACAGAGCAGGGCCACCCACTGTCTTGTCTCCAATACCACCTGCAGCTGCGGGCGGTTCCTGGTGCTAATAGAACAAAGTCCCACCCCTGAGCCGACCCAGTCCTCTCCCCAGTGCCACAGGGAACCCAGTTAGCTTCTCCCAAGCCCATCAGGTCTGGCCTCATCTCAGACCCCTACTTAGGACAGGGGTCTTGGCCAACTTGCTCCTTCCTTCAACCTGTTGGTACATTTTCTTGAAAGAATAAAATTGCCTTTCTCCTGTGCTCTGGACCCCACCTTCCTCCTGGGCCCTGCTCATGGTTCCCTGGTGACTGTGCGTCCCCGGTGACTCTTTAGGGCACCAGTCCTCAGAGTGCAGCCTTGTCTGCACAGCCCAGGCCTGGCTTTGGACTCTGCTGCCCCTAGGGTCCCACTGTGCTGGAGGCAGGTTTTTCTGCACCCAATGAGTGTCTCTCAAAGCTCAGGGCTCTTGGCTCTTAGGTGGGGTCAGGGGCAAGGTGTATCAGTGACTGGCCCTTGCTGAGGATGGCTGACCTGGCCTGCAATGAGCTTCGCCCCCAGATCAGACTGGTAAACAAGGTGTGGCCAGCGGCTGGACAGAACCTTCTGGCCACAGTGGCCCCAAATTCCCAAGGCCATGGCAGCAGTTCTTACCCACCCTGGTTATGGCCCAGTGCATAGACTGTGGCACTTGGCTGGTAGCTGGGAAGAGTCCCTGGGAATTGAAGAGGAGCAGGTGCCAGATCTGAGAAGGTCTAAATCAGGGAGTGATTTTTTCAGCAGTAGGGTCCATGGACCAGGGCACGTGGCCATCCCAGGGGCCTGAGGTCTTGTTGCACTGCAGGAGGGCATCTGCTTGGGTCAGGCCCATGTTCACACCCTGCTTCAGTGCCTTTGGTTCCCAAGGGAGACTTGGGGCAGATCCTCTTTCCTGGGGCCCCTAATCTCTAAAGAGAGGAGACCTGGGAGTTAGGCCACCAAGGGTCAAGTCTGACACTGACATGCCCCTCTCCTACTGAGGCTGCACACAGGATCTTGTCCCTTGACAGCCTCCCTAGGCAGCCCCAATCTGGTCACATACAATCCAGCCTTGTTTGGGCCTGGCTGTGTCCCGGTCCCTGTTTGAAACCCAGGATGGGCCTCCACTCACTCCTCCTACCAGCTTCCTGCAGCCCACGTGGCCGAGCTGGACACTCCAGCCGGTTCTGTGGCTGGCCCCTTTCTGCCTCAGACCCCTGTGCCTTTGTTGATTTCTGGTCTGGACACCCCTCTCTCCACTTCCAATTTCCTTCCTCTGGTGGCTTGCGGGACCCAGGTTCTGTCTCTGCTCCCCTGCAGGACTCAGCATTAATGGGTGACCCTGCCCTGTGGTGTGGGTTGGGGGCTGGGGTGCCTTCATCACTAGGAGTTGCACAAGGCTCTGTAGAACATCCACGTCAGACTCAGACGCTGCTTACCTTAGGACCGACCACCTACTCACTGGTGCCCCCCTCAACCCTGATTTCATCATAGGCTCCTGGGGGTGATTCACAGGCAGGTGGTCAGTGGCTACACTTCACGGAACTGGCCTGCAACCCACCAGGGTCTTCAGCCCCAGCGTCCCCCTCCCTGCAGATCCATCCACCCATCCACTTGGGGCTTATCCTGGGGTCAGGGAAGAACTCCCTGACCCTCAAGGGAGGCTGCCTTGGTAACATGTTAACTTGCCCTAGAGCTGTTCTCTGCTTTGTGCATGAGACAAACAAGCATCCAGGGCCTCTCCAACCTCCCCTCCTGGGTGAGGCATAGTTCTGTTGCTGAGGATACAAGAATAAATAACTGCCCCAACCGCACCCCCCCCAAACAACCTTACTCGCATGGATCTTAGTTTCTAGAGAGGGCAGATGAACAATAAATCGACAAATTTATATACAACATGCCAGAGGCAATAGGGACTTTGAAGAAGGAAACAGCAGGGAGGGAAAAGCATGAGGGCTGGGCTGTCTGCTAAGAGGTAGGGGGAGATTTGGGAGAAGGCTTGACCACCATGTGGACAGGGAGGGAAGATCTCACTTGGGACAGTGGGGACTGGGTGCCACTGCATTGGTGCTGAGGGCCTGCTGTGGTTTGACCACGGGTTTTGGGGCACATCATGCTCCAGTAGAGTCTACAGTCCAGGGAACTTGGCCATCTGGGCTGATCCAGAGCCCGGCGTTTCAAAGCCAGTGTGGCAAGCAAGAGGGAATTAGCTGGCAAGGGGCCAAGGTGCAAAACTATATACCCAGAAGTGGGACTGAAGGGTCATATGGTATTCCTGTTTTTAATTGCTTAAGTTTTGTTTCAACTAGGTTTTTGGTACTTCTAGGGAAAGCTATTCTGGGCTATTGAAGCGTTTGCAATGATGGTGCAACTCTATCGCCACCTGGTGGCCATTGGTGTGTTTGCTGCAGCAGGTAAAGTTGGCTGTAGAGAGGGTTCTTGAACGTCTTGAAGTTTTGATTTTCAGGTGCCTTCTTCAGCATCCACATCAAGCAGTTATCTGGCCTTTGCTTGAGCACCTCCATGGATGGGGAGAGATGACTCTATTATTTGGCATCCAACTCCATTGTTGGATTGCAAATGAGAAGAAAATGATTATCCAGAGGAAAAAATTTCCCCCTTGTAATATTGAAAACAATAGGGAAGCTAGTTGGTGGGGAAATCAGGGTCTCAGGGCAGGTAACTGATAGGCTAGGATTAAGCTGGGAGTGTGATTGTGTAATAGGGAAGAACAAATCTGACTACATATTAGATCTGTTTCTTTAGCTCTAACCCTGTGTTCTGCTTCCCGTGTTTAGTCTTACTGGTTCCGCACACTTTGTAAAAAAATGTTGCCTATATCCTGAAATTTACAGGATAGTCCATTCTCAAGGCTTTGACCTTTAACAGTATAATACTTTCCCATTCATCTGGAGATAAAAAGTTACAGAACAGAGAGTAACATTTGTCTTGTTGGAGGTTTAATTTACAGGAACATCATGACCTGACCTAGGTGGACAGCGGCAAGAACAAAGGATTTTGGCATCAAGAAGTCTGCACCAACCAACCACACCTCCTCCCCTTTTTAGTATAAAAGGAACCTGAATTCTGACTTGGGGAAGATGGTTCTCCAGGACATTAGTCCCCATCTTCTCAGTCTGCCGGCTTTTTGAATAAAGTCATTATTCGTTGCCCCAGTACCTCACCTTCTGATTTGTTGGCCTATCGTGCAACGAGCAGAACGAGTTTGGACTCCGTAACAATTGCCTGAATGAGCCACTTTCTTGGCAGACCCCAGGGTAAATCAATTCTCTGTTCCAGCTATTTCCAGAGATCACTGAGGTTCTGATTCAGTAATGACAGTGATTTAACCTCATTTAAGATGTATTTTATGTTTCCATCCTTGGCCAGATGTGTTTGAAAGCAACTGAAGCTGAGTTTTGACATGAGATGAGAGCTGAACTTTTCCCTGATACAGGCTAGTGGTCTCAGCTGGTCAGGATGAAGGTATTTTTCTTGTTCTACCAGGGCTGACCTATAGGTACTTAGGTTACAGTACTTAATGAACGGAACAGTCTGACAAGGACAGGTGCAGAGCCTGAGTCTCCAATGCCCTTTGGAAAGGTGGGGCTGGGGGATGGCTATCTCCTCTGAGAGCAGTAGGCTTGGTACCCAGTAGATGCTAATTAATGTCTCATCCTGTCATTATGTGATGTGGCAGAGAGAAAAACCTAGGGCAGCTAGGACTAGAGGAGTGGGGAAGGCTTCATCATTTTTTAGTGTTGATTCCTTAATTCTTCTGTGGTCAGGGAGCATGATCTGCGTGGTTTCAAATCTTTGAAATCTGTTGAGACTTTATGGTCAAGCGTACGATCAATTCTGTCGTTTATTCATCAGAAAAGAATGTGAGGGGGGAGGGTATAGCGCAAGTGGTAGAGTGCATGCTTAGCGTGCATGAGGTCCTGGGTTCAATCCCCCGTACTCCTCTAAGAATAACTAAACAAACCTAATTACCTCCCTGCACCAAAAAAAAAAAAAAAAAAAAGGAAAAACAAAAAGAGAAAAGAATGAAGTCTGCAGGCGTGGGGGCAGTGTCCCATTTTTGTCATGTGCTAATCCTATGGTCCAAATATCAAATATCCCTTTTTTTTTTTTTTTGGTCTGCTACTTGTTGTGGACCTAGATTCTACCCCAAATGGCACATGATTAGAATGTTGGGATGGTTTCTCACACAGCATTGATGTGGTGTAACTAGCTTCTATTGGAAAGTAGACTTGTGTGAGCTAAAGAGCCCTGGGGAAAATGAACAACATACTGTGGGGGCCACGGGGTGGAGGGGGCCCACCACTTAGGACTCTTGGAATTTTGTTGGAAATGAGTGGGAGGAAGAATTCCGGAATCCAGAGCCACTGTGACTGTGCCTGCCTCCTGATTGTTGCCCAGTCAGGTTTTCCAGGGCTCTCCGGGCAGCTGTGGATAAAGCTCTGACTTTGAATCAGACAGACCTGGTTGTGAATCCAGGCTGGCTGTGTCTAGCTGTGTCTCTCTCCTGCTTTAAGCCTTGGAGTCCTTGGCTCTACGAGGGGAGAGTCTTTCACCTTTCAGAGTTGTTGAGGGGTTGGAGAGCTCATATTCAGGACTCAGAAAACATGGGCTCTTGTGATGTTATTACAAAACGCTTTCTCCTTCCTTCCTTATGCACAACGACCCTGCAAAGGAGAAGTTCGTGTCCATGTTTCATTTGACTGTTCTGAGTGGGAAATAACTGAAAGAGGTCAAGTCAGGGCTTGAGCCCAGTCTTGGACTCGAAGGCTAGCACTTCAGTGCCCTGTTATGTGTAACCATCTGTTTCGTAGTTATTGGCCAGGGGAGCAGTGTGGTGCAGTAGAGGGAGCATCTACATTAGGTATAGGTTCAATTTTTCAAGACTTTCCATGAAAGTTCAACACACGGGAAAGCGCACAATCCCAAGGGAACAGTTGGATGAATGTTCACAAAGTGAACACACTCAGGTAACCAGTATCCAGAACAAGAAATAGACCATGACCAGCACCCAGAAACCCACTTTCTACCCTGCCAAGAGTAACCACCACCTGGACTTCAAACACCATCGATTTTTTTATTATTATCATTTTATTTTTATTGAGTTATAGTCATTTCACAATGTTGTATCAATTTCTAGTGTACAGCACAATTTTTTAGTTATACATGATCATGCATATATTCATTGTCACATTCTTTTTCACTGTGAGCTAACACAAGATCTTGTATATATTTCCCTGTGCTATACAGTATAATCTTGGTTATCTATTCTACATATGCCTGTCAGTATCTACAAATTTCGAACTCCTAGTCTGTCCCTTCCCACCCATCTCCCCCTGGGCAACGACAAGTTTGTGTTCTATGTCTATGGGTCTGTTTCTGTTTTGTATTTATGTTCATTTTCTTTTTTTTAGATTTCACATATG